ACTGCACCCTAACCACTGCGCCACTGGGGCTTATTTGCCAGTTTAGTGAAACTGAAAACATCACTTAATATATCATGAAAAGCGAGCTTTTGTGAGATTGTGAGTTCTGCACAACATTCCTCCAATACTTTTGGCTGGGGTCAAGCAATCAACAGAAACAAAAGTGTTCATAGGGTCAAGATGGTTGCTTAAGTTGCAGCCGCCATCTTGACTGAGTTCCAGGATCAACTACCATGTTTCCCTGAAAATAAGACAGGGTTTGACCCCCGAAATAAGTGCTTGGCCTTATTTTCAGGGAGGTCTTATTATTTTTGAGGTGCAGGAGGTGGCGAGCATGGTCACCTCATAGCAGCGGCTGTGTTGCAATATTTTTGGGGAGGGCTTATTATTTTTGAGGTGCAGAAGGCCCCTTAACCTTGGCCCGCAATCCATGGATCAGCTGATCCAGCCACAAAGTTTTGTCTCTGTTTCTGGCACACTCTTGCCAGCCCTAGCATCACTGGGACTGTTCTTCACACGTACGACAGTTGCAACATCCCCATGGTCACATGATCAAAATTCAGATGCTTGGCAACTGACTCATATTTACCACTGTTGCCATGTCCCAGGGTCATGTGATCACCTTTTTTAACCATGCTGGTTGAGGGATTCTGGGAGTTGAAGTCCACACATCTTAAAAGTTGCTGAGGTTGAGAAGCACTGCTTTTACAACTATGAAGAGGAAGCAAAAGGAAGGAGGTGGCAAAGTCCATCTTTGATTGAATTCCATCAATCAAATCACCCCAATCTGGATTTGTAACCCTCTTTCTACCAAGAACTGCAATCTATTAGGAATTAATCTGTTGAGAGAGGTAGGCAGATGGTTCCAGGACTCGGGAGGAGTGGGCCAGTGGTGGGTTCCGGTTCCCATTGCAACCAGTATGGTGCAACAGGGGCCGGCGTCCACCACATAAACACGTGCATGCGTACTTACTGTCTGAGACGTCTCTGCAACACTCCAGCTGCTCGGCGGAGCATCGCACAGGCGCCATACACTCCGTGCCCGTGCGTGGAAGCCCCGGAGAACTCAAATACTGGTAAGAAGCATGGGCGGGTGGGCCCTCCAGAGCACCGTACTGGAACGGTACCTGGTGTGCTCCCGGCAGGCATTGGTACGCCTGTACCAGGGCGTACCGGTCGTAACCACCACTGGAGTGGGAACACCTTTTCTCTCCTTGATGCCTTCTTTTCTTTTCTTTTTTTGTCATGCCCTTGAAGGCAGTTGCAGGCAACACTCTGTAATGCCAAAGATCTAAAACCATCTCTTGCAGAAAGGATGATGGGTTAAGGCTCCTGGAAGATTGTTCCTGTATGGGATAGGGGCCAAAGGGCCAAGAAAGGGCCAGAGTACTTGGGCTGGGTTCCACCTTCTGCCATAGCCAGCCCTTCCTGGACTTTGGGCGAGTTGGTAAAATTCAACATTTTCCCCTACCAGTTCTGTGGGCGTGGCTTGGTGGTGGGGGTGGGGGTCATGTGACTGGGTGGGCATGGCAAACTTTAAAAAAGATTTTTTTAAAATTCTAAAAAATGCTTTAAAAAATTCCGACGAATGTGTGGCAAAGTTGGTTGTTGCATAGCTGATCTTTGGAACTTTTTAGAAAAAAATAGTATTTTTTAACTGCCAGTTCTCCTGAGCAAATAGTTAAAAATGCTTTAAAAAGTAAAAAAAAAAATGTTCCAATGATCGCGTGGCACAGCTGATTGTTAGAACTTTTAAAAAACTTTTTAAAGCATTTTTAAACTACCAGTTCAGGTAAACCGGTAGCATTTTTACAGCCTGCTCAGGCAAATTGGCCCAAACTGGTAGCATTTCACTCCTGCTTTGGATCACTTGCTCCCTTTCAGCACAACCTACCCTGCAGGGTTTTTGTTATTGGGGAAAAGGGCCATAGAGAAGGCTAGTAAGTTGATTTCAGCTGCAGGTGGAAAGGGAAGACATAAGCTTAACATTAGTTAGAATGGAATACAGGTAGTCCTCAATTTACAACCATTCATTTAGTAACATTAGCATTGAAAAAGTGGCTTGTGATTGGTTTTCATGCTTAGGCCATTGCAGCATCCCTATGTTCACATCAAAATTCGGACCCATGGCAACTGGCATGTACATATGACGGTTGCACTGTCCCATCCTGGGAGCATGTGATCACCATTTGTAACCTTCCTAGCAAGGGGCGATATTCACTTATCTTCCCTACTGGTTCACAAATGTGAGCGTGCGTGCATGCGCCACCTCCATGCATACACTAAGCCCGTGATGGCAAACCTATGGCACATGTGCCAGAGGTGCCACGCAGTGCCCTCTCTGTGGACATGTGCCCCATCGCCAGCTGCTCTTCTGCTTTCTGGTGCATTGACTACTAGTCTTTGCGGGCGCCAGAGTGCCGAAAAACGGTCTTTAAAATTCCCCCCAAAACAGGCAAAAAACAGGCTTGTGTTTGCCGACCAGCTGATCTTTGGATTTCCAATGCTCCGGCGTGTGTGAAGACCAGCTGGCTAGTGCTCTGGCGCACACACATATACATCGTATTTGCACGCGCATTCTGGTTTGGGCACTCGGTGCTGAAAAGGTTCGCATCACTGCGCTAAGCCAAAAAAGGCCTAAATGGCGTACCATAGAGTCGGGGCAGGTGGGCGGGGACCACCCACAATGTCCGCTACCGGTTCGGGCAAACTGATCCAAACTGATAGAATACCAGTTCCTAGCCAGCTTCCGACGAGCAAAGCCAGTGGGTGAAGCCAGATTTGCTTAATGACTGAATGATTGACTTAACAACTACAGGGATTCACTTAACAACTGTGGCAAGAAAGGTGATAAAATGGGGCAAAACTCACTTGCTTGTCTTGCTTAGCGATGGAAATTTGGGACTCGGTTGTGTTTGTAAGTCAAGAACTAAATATAATCAATATTTCCTGTCCATGGGCAAGCACAGGGCTCAGCTTCTTTTTTCTTCCAACATCTTAAAAACTGGTTCCTTTGTACCAGTCCTGCCTTCCACACCTGGTTCGGCTACCCAGAATCTCACCTTGGCATCTGAGCTACAAGTTGGGGAAGCACAGAGGCTCACATGGTTAGGATGCTGGTCTGACGATTGGCAGGGCCGTGTTTGAGACCCGGTTGCTGCCATGTGATGGAGTGAGCTCCCGTCACTTGCTCCAGCTCCTGCTGACCCAGCAGTTCAAAAGTGGGCAACCATGAGTAGATAAATAGGTACCACTTTGATGGGCAGTTTCATAGGGACATGAGAAGATCCCCTAACTGGTGTCCCCTGGGCAATGGTGAGGTCACAGGCTAATCTTCTCAACCTGAAAGTGCTTTGGTGCTCCTAACATAACTGTAGTAGTAATGGTAATAGTAGCAGCTACAAGTTTTGAGGAAGGGATTTGGAAAGTTAGACTTGTTAAACTCCTCTGCAGACCAGAAATCCAAGGAGCGCTTTGCAGCTCCAAACACTGGAAGGTTGGTCCAGGATGAACCTGAACCAGAGCTTGGATTAACCAAAAATTTTGTTTTTCCTTCCCCAGATCGTAGTTTTCAACTTAGTGCATGGGAGAGCAGCATTGTGGACCGGCTGATGACCCCAACTCTTGCCTTCTTGGCCCGCAGCAGAAGTGCTGTGACGCTAGCCGGCAATGGCAAGGAGCAAGGTAAGCAAAATGATCTAAAGGGGCTAAAATGTTACGTAGGGGAAGGCTGGATGGTTTCACCAGCACCCTGAGCAAGCCACGATGATGCCAAAATAATGGCGAATTGTGCAATTGCATCAGGCAAGCACTCCTGTTGCATCCTTATGTTGATTTGTTCATTTTAGCTTGTGTTCCATGAACTCGGATGTTACGTTTATGAACCAGGGTTTGTGGCTTAGCATGTCATCTTTGGTTGATTGAATAAGCCAAGAGTTCCCTAAAATTTCTGGCTTTGCAAACTGGTGGGGAGGGGGAGGGCATAGTTTGCACCAGGGGCTGGCAAGCACATGCGCACACAGCTCCATTTCCATGAGTGGCATATATAAGTGCCTGAGGCTCACACAAATGGAGTGGGCATGGACATGCTCGCCTACTGCTCGCATGAACGTCTTGTATTGCTAAACAACCAGTGGTGGGATTCAAATTTTTTACTACCGGTTCTGTGGGCATGGCTTCGTGGGTGTGGAGGGGAAGGATACTGCAAAATTTCCATTCCTTCCCCACCCCACCAACCTGCTTTCCAGCTCCGTTCTCCTGTGCAGGGCAACAAAAGAAGCCCAGCCGATCAGCTGGGACTCAGGAGGCAGAAAATAGAGGGGGCGGGGCCAGCCAGAGGTGGTATTTGCTGGTTCTCTAAACTACTCAAAATTTCCACTACCGGTTCTGCAGAACCGGTCAGAAACGGCTGAATACCACTTCTGTAAACAACCCTAGAGAAGATTCAAACCTTCTCCTTTCATTCACCGCCAACAGTCCCCGTGTGCCCCCGCTCAGCTTCTGCCAGCCCTGTAAGCCCCTGCAAAAACCAGCGTGTACACCGTTGTGCGGAGCGACGGCGGCCAGCAACCAGCAGCCCTGATGTAACGCCCCGGAATAAGCCTCACTCCTCTCCTGTAAGTTGCTATGATTTTTTTTTAACCATCCCAATTCTTTAGATCGGTGTTTCCCAAATCTGGCAACCTTTAAGAATTCGATGCCCAGAACGTTGCCAAATTTGAGAAATGCAGCTTTAGATCCAGGTCTTTTATTATTCCCACCAAAGTTTCCTCTCGCCTGCTAGAAGCAGGAGACTGGACGGTTTAGGGTTTTGAGTGCTGCTTAGCTTTCCCCAACCTGCTGTCCTCTACTTACTCCAGATATGGGGGGCTAAATCTCATTTTCAACCTGCCTATTGGGAAGAGAAGAAGTGTAATGACCTCAAGGGGGGGGCAGCATTTTGAGGAAATTGCAGGAGTTTCATCCAATGGGAAACAAAAATTGCCTTCTCAGGGGTTGTTTTCCAGAATTTGCTTAATTCCTGGGGCTTTCTCATAGTCTTCTTCCTAAATTAAACCCGAGTCCTGCCGTGTTAGGTAGAAAGGATTGCCCGAATTCCAGAACTGAAGTAGAGGGTGGAAGAGAGAGACTGATTAGCCAAATGCTACATACATCAGAGGGACACGGTGGCTCAGTGGCTAAGACGTTGAGCTTGTCGATCAGAAAGGTTGGCAGTTTGGTGGTTTGAATCCCTAGCACCGCGTAAAGGAGTGAGCTTCCGATACTTGTCCCAGCTTCTGCCAACCTAGCAGTTCAAAAGCATGTAAAAATGCAAGTAGAAAAATAGGAACCACTTTGGTGGGAAGGTAGCAGCGTTCCGTGCGCCTTCGGTGTTTAGTCATGCCAGCCACATGACCATGGAGACGTCTTCGGACAGCACTGGCTCTTCAGCTTTGAAACAGAGATGAGCACTCCCCCCTAGAGTCAGGAATGACTAGCGAGGGGAATCTTTACCTTTACATACATCAGAGCTTTATATGTTCAGACATGATGCTGTTGTTGACTGGAAAGATGGATGAAAACCAACATAGCTTTCAGTTGCTAAGCAACCGGTTGTACAGACAGGTACAGAAAGGTTGATCCAACCAGTACACTGGCAGTTCTGGGACTTCCATACATCTTAAAGGAGTGGAGAATTCTGGGAGTTGAAGTCCATATATTGCCAAGATTGAGAAGCACTGTGTCAACAACCCCCCGCTTTGAAGATGCTGTTACTGTGAACTGATTTGGCCCAGCGTTCTAGAGAACTGCTTCTCTGTCATCAAAGGGGCTTCTGCTTTATGATTCTTTCTTCTCCTGTTCTCAGCATCAGAAAAAGAAAGAAAAGAAAGACAAGGATCGGGAAAACGCCCAAGAAAAGAGTGCCTTAGCCCTCCGCAAACGCTACTCTACGCCTTCTGGCCAGGCACGTCAGCTGCATGTACCCGAAGGCAGGTAAGAAAAGTCACAAGGATCTTGACAAGATGTAGAATTAATTTAGCACTGGCCAAAAAGACTTGGGGAAGCCAACTTTGCAATCATGTCTGATTGTGGGAGACGTATATCAAAGGTCATTTTGAAGAGGACAGAATATTTAGATAAGATTGGAATTAATGGCTTTCCTTGCATCTACTTATATATTTATATTAGTGTTATACTTTTAATGTAGTCAAATGACTAAACCAATAAAGATTCTATTCCATTCAATTCAATTCAATATTTTCTATTCCATTCCATATTTTCTATTTGATTTGATTCATTCTTTCCTAATTTCATTCCATTCTATCCTATCCTATTTTCTATTCCATTCCACTCCGTGTATCAAAATTCAAGATGGTGGCAATTGATTATATGGATGAAGCTGCCTGCCAAGAATGCCTCTGTTTGCAATAATGCTCTTTTTTCCTAACCTCATAACTCTCCCTATTAGGATGATAATTCAATTTTGTCCAATCTATCACAAGATCCGTCAAAATTAGAGTTACAGTAAGGGTATCATTCCAATAATTCTGAGTTTTGGGACATAATCCAGAAAAAAATGCTTTGTTGCATCCAGGGCTATGAAAGCAGCCTCAGTCTGGAGCCCTTTAAAACAGCTGCATCTCTTCCTAGGATCACAGGACAGTATTAGATTCACATGCCTCCATGCTCTGAAGCACCTTTTGCAAATGAAGCTGGGAGCTTTGCACAGCCAAAATGTGTAATGCAACACTTTCAGCTGGTTGGGAAGGGCTGAAATGGACAATTGCAAATTTTAACAGGACTTCAGGGTTGTTGGCCTTTTTGTGTGTTCTTCCTGCTGGGATGATGTTAGTTCCTGGGCATGAGTTCTCCCTGGAAATGATAACATTGGAGAGTAATTTTGTCTGCTTCTGCTCCAGGAAGGGTCTCCAGAATAGGACTTGCCCATCAGCAGCCAGTAGAGCTGGCAGCAGATTCGGACAGTGAGGAGGTTGGGGAGGAACA